ATACCAAAACCAAAAATAAAACCCTATTGGTCAGTTTTGGAAGATTCAAGAGAACTGACTCATTATTTGGAAAATTGCAAAATAAAGGGAAACAAGCATTTATTCTGCCCTTCCTGTGTGAATTGGACCTCAAGACAATCAGATCATTAATGAGAAAATTTTTCTCTGTTTAGAAGTATCCCAATTAATAAATGAAGAAGGAATGGTAGAACTAGAACGTCACCATTTTGCACCTCCTAATAAATGAAATGATAAAAACAAGGACCATCAATGGTATTAACATCACAAAAAGAGGGACAAGCACACATTATGTGCCATTTGATAGACGTACACAGCGTCACAAGACATACACGAGGCAGTCTTGATGAAAACATGGAACGCGAGTCTGATCAAGTCTCCAATCTTACTATGTACTGGTTTGCAAGAAACACAGGGGATAACATGATTAAAGGACACCCTTACTCTAGAGAAATCCTGAATCTAAGACATCATCAAAAATCCTGACTCTAAGAAACCCTCCAGAATATACCACCCGGTGTCTTTACATGTTTCTATATTGGGGAGAAAGAGAAACAGAGAGAGAAGGAGAGGAATAGTTCAGAAATAAGCAATGAATCGCAGAGTATGCTCTTGGATCCTGATTCTAACAGGCAAATTGTAATTATAGCAACAAGAAAACGTTTATAAGACAACCGAGGGCAGGAGAGTGCAGTCAGTTCTGCTATAAAGCAACATGTGTGTTCCTAAAAATCCTCACACTATACAAAATCATGCAGCAGGAACCACAGGGCTTGTGGGAAAATGGAGTTAGGGGAACAATACTCAAAATCCTTGTCGGTGACACATTTAAAAAGAGAGAGGGAGCTGCTCTGTACCTATTCTGGACCAAGGCCCTGCCCAGTTAAAAATAAATAAATAGGGCGGGTGCGGTGGCTCACGCCTGTATTCCTAGCACTCTGAGAGGCCAAGGCGGGAGGATCGCTCAAGGTCAGGAGTTCGAAACCAGCCTGAGCAAGAGTGAGACTCCATCTCTACTAAAAATAGAAAGCAATTAGCTGAACAACTAAAAATATACATAAAAAATTAGCCGGACATGGTGGCGCATGCCTGTAGTACCAGGTACTCAGGAGGCTGAGGCAGGAGGATTGCTTGAGCCCAGGAGTTTGAGGTTGCTGTGAGCTAGGCTGATGCCACAGCACTCACTCTAGCCTGGGCAACAAAGTGAGATTCTGTCTCAAAAAAAAAAAATTATAAAATAAATAAATTATGGAGTCAGAATGTGTGGGTTCAAAATCTACCTCTGCTGTTACATGCTGTGTGACCTTAGATGGGTGATTTGACTGTTCCGTGCTTAGTCTTTAACATATTAACATATTTAAAGTACTAATAATGGTGCCCAGCACACAGTAAGTGCTGTACGTGTTAATTCACTTTGGGTGAGCATTACACAGAAACGAAGAACACGGGCTCTGAAGGTTACTGGAATTTGGATCCTGGTCTGTCCCTTTCTAGCTATGTGACTTTGGGCCAGAGAGTTAAGTGCTTAGTGCCTCAGTTTTCTCCTCTGTAAAGGGGGCTGATGCTGGTTCTAGAATAGTTAAAGGATTAGGTGGGTCGACAATTGCAAAGTTGGTAGAATAATGCCTGGCTCTATATCAACCTTTATTATTGCTCTGCTTTAGCTATTATGATTATTCTGTTGTTCGTTCTATTACTATTATGCTATTATTTCTCAGCTGTGATATTACTGTGGCTACAGGAGAGACGCACCCCAAGCCCCCCACTTCCCAGATGGGAAGTGCCCCAGCCGAGGAGCAGGAGCCAGGACTAGGGGCCCAGAGGGTGGAAGTCACCTTTGTCCCTGGGGCAGGGACAGGCCAACACTCGGATTGGCTGGAGGGTCCTCGTTGCCACTCCAGCAGAAGCAGGGCCTGCGGGGGCCTCCAAGGATCTGAGCTGCCACTGTGAAGGGTGGCCCAGATAGTCCCCACCCACACAAAAAAGCGAGAACTCTGGGGTTCAGCAGACACAGTTTCAAACCTTCACTTTGCCACTAGCTGCCCTGTGACCTTGGGCAACCTGCTAAATTTTCTGGACCTCAATTTCCTCATGCCCACATGGTAGTAGAATCCCCTTCCCGGAACAGGCGGCTGGACTTCCGGCCCCGCGCTGGGTCAGGAAAGCGATTCCTTCTCCCCTCGACCTCTTTCAACTCTGGGATTTGCAGCCAGCTGAGGCTGCTGAGAGTTTTGAATTTAGGGAGGAAATGCTCATTTCATTTCATTTTCTCCCTCAGGACCAAAAGCCACAGGTCAGAGTCAATTTGACAAACCTGAGAATCCATTTAACTTTCTCAATTAAGATCCCAAAACCCCAAGGAAAGGCGTATGTGCTATGGTGCGGCGCATCTATTTCTGATGTTGTGGTTTTTGTGTTTTTGTTTTTACTTAAACCATGGAATACATAAATATATGTTAGTGGTGTTTTTTTAATTTAAAAAAAAAAAGAATTCAATGCATCTGTTTGACAGACCTAAAACAATTACTGTCTGTTGCTAAGGTTTCGGCTATAAGAAAAAAAATGTCCTCACGCTTTCTGTCTGATTGAGGCAGCCAAGGTTGAATAAAAGAATACCAGGGCAAAATATGGAGAATTTTCACAACTCAAGAATAACCTTGTAAATAGTGAAGAGCCTGCTTTACTCCAGAGAAGAATTTAAAATTTGAGTTTTAAAAAAAAATGCTGTGTTCCATAGTGCATGCCTATAGTCCCAGCTGCTCAGGAGGCTGAGACAGGAGGATCACTTCAGCCCAGAAGTTCAAGACCAGCCTGGGAAATGTTGCAAGACCCTATGTCTTGGGGGGAAAAAAATCAAATAATACAGGTATATTTTGAGTAAAAAGTGAAAGTACGGTTTACAATTACCTCCTTCCACTTTTGCTTCCTTATAGAGAAGACCACCATTAATTGTTGAGTGTTGTTTTTCTAGACCTTTTCTATATATCTACATATATATATTTATGCATTATTTAACTTATATGGATCCTACTATATACATTATTCTAAGACATTTTGCTTTTGCTTAACTTGTCTTCAAGACCCGTCCTTGCTGGTATGTGCTCAGTGGTCTCATTCTTTGTAATGTCTGCAGGTTATCCGTTTGTTTAGATGGACAATTCAGTTGCCATCTCTTCTATCGTTAGGCATCTAGGGTGTTTAGTTTTTTGCTCCTGTCAACGTGTGTGTCTTTGTGTACATGCAGAAACATTTCTATGAGAATTTCCTAGAAATGGAATTCCTAGGCCAAAGGATTGAAAAAGCCACACTTACCCTACACTATCTCCTTACCCTGTTTTATTTTTAGTCAGACCATTTATTATCATTTATGGTATCTATTCATTTGTTGTCGACTTTTCCCACTAAAATACAGTTTTCACAAGAGCAGGTAGTTCAATGCCAGCTCCCCACACCAAGAATAGTGTCTGGCACTCAGTAGGGACTCAATAAACATTTGTTGGATGAAAAAAATGGATGAAAAAAAACACATTTTTAATGTTGATAGGTGTTGCCAATTTTTATTCCAAAAATTTGACCAATTCATCCTCTACCAAGAGAGTAAGAGACTATTTTCCCCGAGCCCTGGACAACACTGGATATTAGCAACTTTCAAATTAACTTTTCTCATCCGATAGGGGGAAAAATGCCATCTCGCCAGTCACACCACTGCCTGACAAGTTCCTCCTGAGCTCCACCCGGCCTCTTAACATGAGCGGCAAGACAGACTTGGGAAGTTCTGTTTGCAGCCAATGTGCCAGAGCTGCCGGCCTGGAGGCCAGCAGGGGGGACAGAGCAAGTGGCAGCAGAGGGCCAGGGCGGAGCCGGAGAACCCGGGAAGGGTCTGGGTAATGTCACAGCTGCTGCCATGGCAGCTGCGCGGATGACGACGGCCGCTACACAAGTGGAGACAGAAGAGAAGCTGCGACTGGGGGCCGTGAGGGGGCGGAAGTGCGGGCCCAGCACCCCACCGAAGGGAACAGCATGTGGGCAGGAGGCCAGTCAGCACGGCCAGTGCTGGCCTCACGGAGGAGTCAGGGGCCGATCAGAGTGCCCAGGCCCCCTAGTGCCTTGAGTCACTGACCTTCGTCTTCCAAGGTCCTTCCCCAGAGACTCCTGGGATTCTTCCCTCCCTGCGTGACCTGGGTAACTACAGGTGTCTCCAAGTCTTTACTGTCATTCCATGCCATCTTCTCCTGACCCTTCTGTGTGTCATGGTGCTTCCCAGGAAGGACAGCTTCTCAGGGAGTCTGGGCTTCAAAGCAGAATCACTTCAGGCCCAGGGGGGACGCTGCTCTTCAGGGCGATGCAGGCAGGAGACCCCCACGGCCCAGAAGGAAGAAGCAGAGTCTCTCTCCCTGCACCCCTGCCTGGGAATCCACGTGTCTCCACGCTGGGTATGACCAGGCACTAGCCTGGCTTCCTCAACCTGTCTATACCACAGGGAAATGGGAGTAGGAAGGACTTTCTAGTACAAAAGTGACCTAAAAGGTACAAGAACAAACTAATGCAACATGTGAACCTGGTTTGGATACTGATTGGAGTAAACCAATCACAAAAGACAGCTTTGCAATGACTGCAGAAATATTAATATGAACTATTAGAAAACATTGAAGATTTAGTGTTAATTCTGATGGATTTCACAATGATATGTTTATACAGAAAACATCTTACTTTTTAGAGATGCATGCTGAAGTATTTAGGGTAAAATGTACTGATATATCATGAATTTTCTTTAAAATATTAATACTTAAGCAAAAAAAAGTAAATGAAGCAAATATAGCACCGTGTTAATAATTATTAAATCTGGGTGATGTGTATATAGGTTTATTATGCTGTCCTCTCCATGTTTCTATATGTTTAATCATTTTCATAATCAAAATTGTAAAATGATACCTGGATATGTTGCATAGCAAAAAGAAAAAAAAATTGTAAAATGAAAGGAGACAGATGAGGCGGGGGCAATGGGAGGGGAAGGGGGACAGTATGAGGAGGAGGAAGGAGGGAGGAAGGAGGAGAGTTAAGGCCTCATGGACTTCCAGAGGGTCAGCCGTCTCCTGGGAATAGGGTGGGACATCCCAAAGTTGGCCTTGACTTTGATCCTTGACCAAGAAGCAGTGCCTTGAGATGTGATGCATTGATTTCAGGCAGAAAAGCTGAGGACCTGGCCCAGCAGACCCCCGAGGAATCCAAGCCCACACCATCTGCAATGCAGCCAAGCATGAGCTGGCCTGTCTGTGTTTGCAAAATCCGAGAGACAGTACAATCCTTCCCAGAAGTCAGAACTGGCCGGTGTGAGCACTCGGGGAGTCATCTGCAGACCCGACGGCAAGTGTGGGCTTGCCAAGCTGGGTCCTTACAGGAATAGGCAGCGCACCCCCATACACACACGCCTTGGGCCCCCAGGCTTACAGCCCTCCTAGAGGGAGGGTGCAGCCCACTGCCTGCCCACCATCTACTCTCCAACATGGCTATAAGCTGGCTCAGCCCTGACGCCTGCACGGTGGGCAGCATGAGCTCCCCAGGGGTCTCTGTACCGGGAGCCTAAAGATTAGTGAGAGATTTCAGAAGTGAGGACAAGGTGTCCCTCCTGTTTCACACATCCATGCACTCAGTAAACAGCCACTGAGCACCTACTTACTGCTGTGACCGGCCCACGTCAGGCCAAGGATTGCAGGGATGAATACACGGTGGGCCCCGCAAAGGGCCAGATTCAGACCCGCCCAGACCAGCATGGGGGATCAGAGCATGGGGCTCTGCTCTGTGGGGCTGGGCAGGGTGGAGGCACCTCTGCAGTCATGAGTGACATGCACTAAGAGGCTCCTGGGGAGATCTAACAGAAGGTATACAGTAGTTGCTCTCACAGTGTGGTCTCCAGACCACCTGCATCAGCAGCCCTTGGGAACTCACTAAAAATGCAAATTTCCAGGTCCTGCCCCAAACCTGTCTTAGTTTGTGATGCTATAACAAAGTTCCATAGACTGGGTGGCTTATAAACAGCAGGGATTTCTCTCTCACACTCTGGAGGCTGGAAGCCCGAGATCAATGTCCCAGCATAGCACTGTTGTTCTGGTGAGTGTCCTCTTCTGACTGCAGATAACATCCTTGCCATTGTATCCTCACGGGGCAGGAAGAGGGTGAGAGAGCTCCCTGGGGTTCCTTTTAGGAGGACACTAATCCCATTCATGAGGGCTCCGCCCTTGTGACCTAATCACCCCCCAGAGGCCTCTCCTAATACCATCACCTTAGGGGTTAGGATTCCAACATATGAGTGGGGGCAGGACACAAACAGTTAACATCCACTGAATCAGAAGTTGGGGCTGGAGCGCAGTGAACCGTGTTTTAACAAGCCCTCCAGGTGATTCAGATGCATGCCGAAGTTTGAGTGAGAACCCCAGAGTCCCCAGATAAACTTCACCTACTTGGGGTAGGAAACATGGAGTTTTGAGGAAGCAGGTTTCAGTTCAAAGGAAAAATGAACTTTCCAACTGACAGCTGCTCAGCAATGAACCCAACAGCCTTGGGCTCCTGGGGAGAGGGTGAGTCCCCACCGCTGGAAGTCTGGGACACAGTCCAGAAATGCTCTCCGGGACGTATGCAGCAGCCTGTAGCAATCGGTCCCCAAATCTCACCAAGCTGCCCCTGGCTCGTGCTGCAGCGTGGGCATCTCCCCGGGGCTCTGTCTCCTTGCAGTGTCTTGCCGGGTCAGGCTGCTCTGATCCAGGACTCTGCCATCCCAGCACAAGCACTTGTCTGCCACCAACGCTGAAAGGGAAGAGGGACACTGGGCCCACAGGGACTCCTCAGAAGTGTGACATACATTACTTTTGCTCATATTTCATAGGCCATATTTCAATGCCTATGATCCCCCCTCCTAACTGCAAAAAGGGCTGAAAAGTGTGGTCTCCCAGAGACCCAGGATGGAAAGAAGCCCCGGGAATATCTCCCTCTCAAGGACACAGCGGCTGAAGAAAGCAGCGAGGAAGGCGAGGCCACAGTGCTGGAAAGAGGTGGATGACTTTAAAGAGCTTTTCCAAACTTGAGAGTCTATTTTTCTGTGATTCTCTGGTTCTGGGAATGCTTTCAGTTGCCCAGTGGCTCTCACGTTCTAAGGGGCTCTAAGGATCTGGGAAGGTTTGCTCACAATCCAGCTCACGATCCCGCTGCCACGGGCCCACACATCCCTGCACTCTGGGCCTGCGGCAACAGGGCCAGGGCAGAGCAGGGTGCTGTGTGGGGAAGGAGGGGAAGTCCGAGCTCTAGGCATGGCCCAGTGAGGGGCAGGGGCTGTGACAATTCAGGCATTCAGGCAAGTCCAAGGAAGGAACCGGCCTTCTCCCAAGCTGGGCCGAGGAAAAGCAATTACAGCCACTCCCTCTGGAAAGAAAAAAGAAAAATGGATTAGGTTCCGTATTCCTGGCCCTGTTCCTGCCCATAATTCAGTCGTGGAGTTGGGGCAGCAGCTGCCGTGGGCCAGGTGTACAGGCCCCAGCCTGACAGAGCCCAGCAACATTGCCCATCCCCCACGCTCTGAGCAACCCCACAACTATACCTGGGCGCAGCAATCTAACGGCGTGGTTGGGGGCATCCTCCTCCTTGCAGCAATCCAGAATGGGATTCGGGGGAGCGAGGAATGAAGGAAGAGGCTGAACGAACCTTCAAGGCTCCTGAGGCTGGCAGCCCTGCTGTCTCTATGAAGAGGAGGGGTCACCGCCTGGCCCAGCTCTGCTCAGCCCTGGCCATGCTGGGTGCCTCCCTTCCCTTCTCTATTTTAGTTAAGATGTCACCATTATGGGAGCTCCAGCAGAGAAGTCCCTAATGGGGTCAGAGCCCAGGGCACCAACACCGAATGCTGAATGCTTCCGCTGTCTCAGGGGACAGATGGGACTAATGGCCATTGTTCTTAGGCTGGGTGTGTTAAGTCCCTGTGTCCTTTGCTGAAAGATAAATTGCATATCTGCCCTCAGGGAGAATGAATCACATCGATAATTCTCTTGATTAAAGCCCATTTATTTAGGATCCCGCTTGAGGTTGTTTTTTTAATGGAAAGATTAGGGAGTAATTCAAACAAGACAAAAGGGTACAGTAATTGGGTTTCCCCTTAGCCTGCAAGTTCTGTTCTCAGAGAAAGTAGTAGAAAGACCTAAACCCACTGGGTTTGCTCAAAGTGTTGCCTGGGGGTCCCACAGTGATGGGGGAGGGGAGCAGCCCTGCAGCCCAGTGTTAGACCTTCAGGCTCCATCTGACTTCTCCAAGCATGTGGAAACCTCGAGGCACAGTGGGCTAAGAGGGTGCACCACAGGCTGCAAGACCCTGGCAGAACCAGAGATGAGCCCATTTTTCTACACTGCCCAGGGCTCCATCCCCCAACTATGCTACCTCTCTTGCACTTCAGTAACAGTATTTTGCAGCCTGCCTGAGCCTCAGGTGATGGGGAAGCCACAACCCACACTCAGGAGCAGATGGATGGGTCCTTGGAGTCCATGCCGCCTTCCTGCCTGAGCCCAGACCGCAGGCTGGGGCCTTGAGCAAACAGTCTGGCTTTGAGATGCTGCTGTGAATACTGAGCCTGGAGCCCTCCACACTCTGTCCACACACCAGAGAGCTGGACTGGCCAGACACCCAAGAGGTGGCCTGTGGGCATGGTGGGGGGTCCAGCATCATAGAACATTCTGGCCTATGGCTTCAAGCCTGCATCCTGTCCAGGAATCTCAGGACCAGGGGGGTTCCCACACTGCTATGCAGCATGGGGCAGAAGCCTTCACCGGTCCAGGCCTCAGTTTCCCTGTCTATACAAAACACTAATAGGGCATCATCTGGATAGCCCTACTGGGACACCCTTACCTACCTAATAAGAAGCTGCACCAAGCACTTTAAAATGCTGCCAAATCTGCCAACACTTAAGTGCAGCTTGAGGAGCAGGCCCTCCGATCTGACGAAGCTCGTCCTCTCACACGTGGACACGCTCCTGCCGAGCAGGAGACAGCCCACCAGCCGCCTGCGCACCAGCTCACCCAGGGGGCCGAGCAGGGGAGGAAGTAGGGTTCTCTGGGGGAGGCTGGGTCACTGCAGGGCCAAGCAGAGGGACAGGAGAGAGGCTGCCTTCAGGGACCACAGCCCATGCCCAAATGCCTGAATTCCTAAGTGACTTTCATTTCCTAAAAGGTATAAGAAAATGGGACATCTAAACTGCCACCTTGAAAACACAGAACTGGAACTCCCCGGGTGTCCATAGCCCTAAGTCTGGGTCAGAGTCTTCCCAAATGTCACCACCCTAGCTCCTTATAAGCCCCCTCTCCTCTTCCCTCCTTTTCCCTCCCTCTTCTCAGCCCTTCTCCCCACCCCATGCAGCTGTTCAAAGTCAGCTTTAACAGGCTGCTCAGCCTTCTAGAGGCCACAGAAAGCACCCTCGGGCTGCACAGGGGAGAAAAGTTGGAAATCGGTTCTGCCGAGTCTCTTAAAAGAGGAAGATCACAGGATGCAAAGCTTTCCATCTGGAAGGAACCTGTCTTCACTGTGGTCAGAAATGCCACGGCGACCTCCCCACTAGGCCGCACGACACCCCCAACCCCAGGCTGCTCACTGAACGGCGCCGGCAGGAGGCCCTGCACTGGAGGCCAGCTCAGTACTCCAGTGTCACATGGGCCACCGTCAGCTACAAGGACGTACAGCCAGAAACTCAGCTGATTGGGAAAGCAGAGAGCCGGGCTGTTCCGCTGGGGGACGGTCTCACCCCGCCAGGCACGCAGGAGACTGCCACGTCTCCCACGCAGCTCAGCTTCCCCAGGACCCCTGAGGTCACCTGAGCCGCTGCCTGGCCGGACACAGGCTAGCCATTACCACAGACAGAGCCAAGAGCCAGCCCCACCCCGGCCCAGCTGCCACTGCCCAGCGCACTTTAATTACATGCTGGGGCGCTAAACTGCACGTCTGGCCCAGAAATCACTGCTCCCTCCACAGCGGGTTGTCTGAGGAAGTTGCCTGTCTCGCCCAGCCCAGGTGGAAGGAGGTGGCAGGTTGGCACAGTCAGGTACGGGTCTGGGCGCGCTCCGACTCCATCGCCAGCCTTGTGTGCTCCCGCCCCCATGTCCCCGCTGCTGGGCACTCGTGGCCCCACCCCCCTCTCAGTTCCCGACCCCCAAACTCGGATTATAGGAACTGCCTTGGTCAGCTGGGGCTGCTGTAGCAAAACACCATAGACTGGGGGGCTCAGCGACAGAATTTATTTCTCACCATTCTGGAGGTCAGAAGTCCGAGGTTGGCGCATCAGTGCAGGCGATTCTGTGAGGGATCCCTTCCTGGCTCATGGATGCCACCTTCTCCCTGTGTCCTCCCAGGGTGAGAAAGTGCACTCTGGTCTCTTCCTCTTCTGACTCGGACACTAATCGCATCATGGGGTCCCCACCCTCATGACTTCATCTAAACTGAATCACCTCCCAAAGGCCTCACCTTCAAAAACTATCACATTGAGGATTAGAGTTTCAATACATTAATTTTGGGGAGACACAGCATTCGGTCTATAATAGGCCAGGTCAGCTTGCAGCTCTCTTCCCAAAAGCACACGTTTCTATCTGGGACGCCGCTCCTGAGTGCCAGGCCCTCTGCTTATTCTACCTGCTGGATGCAGGGACTTAGATGGGGCAAGGACGGAGCGAGCCCAGATACAGGGCCATCGCCAGACCCTGGCCACACCTCTCCTGCCCCTTGCCACACTGATAATTCTGTCACGGGTCTTACCTGGTTCACTTCCCACCAGTCCCAACTCCAACCAGGTCCTAACAGCCTGTCATTGTATGCTACACCCACAACTTCTGTTTTGCTGCCAGGATGCAAACCAGGATGTAGCATGGTCCTCATAAATGCCACTCGGACATGGTCACAAGAGAGCAGGAATGTCCCTGGCCTTCCTGAGGCATTTATCTCCTGGAGCCTGGCTCCCGCTGCTACAAAAGGGATTGCCCGCCCTGTGCCTGGCTTGGCCACCATGGCAGTCTAGTAAGAAAGTGTGTGCAAGGCCTGGCCCCTTGCCCCTTTTATTCTGGGAAAAGCCCAGAATACCGTGCACCTCTTCTCTGATGGACTCCCCTTACATGGACCGTCTTCCCAGGCCCTGAAACAGGCAGAGGCAGAAATGGTGGGATCCTCAGCTTGAGCCAAGCCCTCGGGGCCCCTGTCAAGTCTCTCTCCTGTGTAAAGTCCACATTTCCACAATCAGCCAGTGCTTGGGGTGCCGGCGACAGCAAGGCTCGGGCAAGTCCCTTTCCTTCTCTGAGCCTCTAACTCCCCGTGAGTAACATACTGATTTAAAGTCCTCTCACCCCGAGGTTGGTGGGTGCTCTCAGGAGAAAATGCCAAGAGACGCTCTGTGCAGTTATGGGAACTCCGGTTTCCTCTCAGCTGTCTTGGGAAGGCGAGAGACTAGCAGGGGAGAAGACAGCAGCCCCAGGAAAGAATGAGCCTCATTCAGGGTCTGGGCTGGGTACCCAGACAGGCAGGCAGGAAGGAGCCCTTTCCAGAAGCAGCTTTCCAGAAGGAGCCAGGTCTCTGGGCCTTGCTGGGTGGGGGAGTATTGTGGTTTCTGCTTTTGCTAATTCTGCAAAGGCCAAGGAGCAATTTAGTTCAGAGCCTTCCCTGTGGCTGAGCCTGGCTAAGAGCGCTGAGGAAGCTCTCTTTGCCAGGGCACACCCTCGGCAGTTCGGGAGCCGGGGAGAACAGGATGTACTCCTGTGGGCTGCTGTATCTGTCTTTTGAAAATAATGAGTTGGGGTGCGGCTGACCCCCTGTCCCTCCCCCACACAGTGAAGGACTGGCCAGGCTATTCCCTCAGAATTCTAGTTGTGCCATTCCAGGTCTGTTTTAGACTTGTTAAAATTGTAAGAGCACATAATCATATATTTGGACACACACATACACATACATCAAGACACGTAACCATGCACATGTGGGCACCCTTACACACACACACATGACACATGCACACACAAAAACATACAAACATACACGTGAATCACAGCTCATTTTTTGAAAAAAACTGAACTGAATTCAAATTTTTAGGGCCATTAACATTTTGAAAAATATTTTCCTTCTCCTTTTTGGGATTGAGGCCAGGTTACACTGTTCTCAGAGAACCAAGACAGGGTTACATAGAGGCTTTTTTCCCCCTTTTGATTTATTGCTTCCCTTAAAAAGAAAAGGAAGTTTGATTAATTTATTCTCAACAGTGAAAAATGCTCTCTCTTTTCCTCCAAAGTAGTGGAATCGATCTTGTTCAAAATCTGAAGGAGGTAAATTTACCAAATCTTGATAAAGAGATGAAGGGTGCAGTTTCTTGCTTCTAGACGTGACCCTATTAATCACACCACCCACGGAGGACAAGCAATGCCGCTCTCCAAAGGCTTCTCCAGGACACCCCAGGGGACACCGAGCCTGACCCTTCCAGGTTCATTCAAGGTCTTGCTAGGGAGACACAAAGACACCTGGAAGACTGAGTGACAGAACTGGACGGTCAAGGTCAGAATGAAGGGCAAGCAGGACCATGGGATTCATTGTCCCTCAAAGGGAAAAGAATGCAAGACTGCTCAGAGGGGACAAGCCACTTCAAGTTGAAGTGTTCAGGGAAGAGTTTGAAGAGGAGATAGAACATTAGCAGACCTGGAAGTTGTGCCTATTTAGACCAGTAAAGAGAAGCGGGAGAGCCGTTCTGGGGAAGGAGCCAGCACAGGCAAAGGCAACGAGGCTAGAACTTACTTGAAAGTTCTCCTGGGTCAGGGTCCAGGGAGTGGACGAATTGGGCCACAAAGGAGAGCTTTCTGGGGAACAATGGAAGAAGATAGGTCAAACTTTATCCAGAAGGCAGTGCGGTGGGAGGGGAGGCAGTACAGATTTTTGAGTAGGAAAGAGCTATAGTCAACTAATATTTTAAGAACAATAACTCTTAAGAAGTTAACAGGGTGACTTGAAGGGGACAAACCCTTCAACCACTTTCACACACAAATCACGCTCAAGAAGCTTTCTTTCGACCTTCTGGGTAGCCTCAACACCCTGAGGTCACCCTGAGCTGGAGGCTGCCCGGCCCTGGTGAGAAAGATTAGCAAACTCTGAAATCATGCTCCTCGTTGTAATAGCTTTGGATGACCACATTTCTTATTTGCCTAGTCACAGTTTTCATTGAATTAAGTATGGAATATAATGTTCACCATTTTTTTTCATTTAACATTTTCAGCCAAAGTCTGGACCCTGGAAACCATCATCCTTATGGTTTTTATTATGACTCATTTATGTCAACCTCCCCTACTAAATGGTGAGCTCTTCAACATGCAGAAATGATGCCGATCTTCTCTGTCTCGCTAATTCCTAGCACAGAGACTGGCAGATAGTAGAAGTCAATATATGATGTGTTTGTAAAACCGGGAAGTAATATCTTCATTACCACACTGTTTGCTCTAGTCAAGGTATTGTCAATGATTTATTGTGCTGTAGAGGTTAATCTATGAAAATTGATATTCTTTTTTTTTTTTTTTTGAGACAGAGTCTCGCTTTGTTGCCCAGCCTAGAGTGAGTGCCGTGGTGTCAGCCTAGCTCACAGCAACCTCAATCTCCTGGGCTCAAGCAATCCTCCTGCCTCAGCCTCCCGAGTAGTTGGACTACAGGCATGCGCCACCATGCCCGGCTAATTTTTTCTATATATTAGTTGGCAATTAATTTCTTTCTATTTATAAGAGACGGTCTCGCTCTTGCTCAGGCTGGTTTCGAACTCCTGACCTTGAGCAATCCACCCGCTTCAGCCTCCCAGAGAGCTAGGATTACAGGCGTGAGCCACCATGCCCGGTTATATTCTTTATTTACCTTAAAAACAAACTCAGACTGTCTAATCTAGAACATTTGTTTTAAAGAATGGGTTAGTTCTGGGCTAAAAGAAAAATATTCTGCTTTACGTTTGCGGCAGAGTTCTTCTTTTAAACAGGTAAGGAGCTAGAGCCCGTTGAACAGCTCCCCTGCCTCCAGCCCAGGCTGACTGAAGCCAAGGATGCCCATCCTTCCTCAGGGATTGCAACTGCTCATGGAAGCCAGCGGGTGAATCTGCAAACCCCCAGCTGGCCTTGCAAACCAGCCCTGTTGCAGGTGCAATTCCCCAGAAAGCAGCGTCTGTGAGAACAGTGTGCTGGAAGGTTCCTAAGGAGCGAGTGAGGATGGGCGCCCGTAGGAGAACGGAAGCGGATTGGGCAGAGGGAGGGGCTGGTAACAATGCAGTCACAACAGGTCCTCGCTGAGCCCCCAGGGAACTCTGAAGCTGGGACAGCCATTCACAGTTGCCCTCAGGTGGGGCAAGGGCCAGAACTTTCTACCTTCCCACTAACCAGTCATTGGATGTGGATTGTCCCCAAGAAGGGGCATAGCCTTGGGCGAGGGGGCTGTCCTCAGAGAGGCTGTCAGTAGCACAGTCCCAGCAACTGGAGAATCTGTCCTTCCCTCCTGGAGTCCCTGGCACAGCGGAACATCCACCGCAACCTTGGATGATCTGTGCTGGTACCTGGGTTCGTGCAGGGCACCCAGGTGCTCAGAGTCTGGAGAGAGGGACTAAGGAGAGTGACTAACTAGTAGGGGACAGATTTGCATCCAAACCTCAGCTCTGCCACTTACATGCTATGTCAGCTTAGATTAATCAGACTTTCCGAGTCTCAGCTTCTTCATTTGTAAAATGGCAATACTAATATCCATCTTACAGGGTTTCTTACCAGGATCAAAGAGGGATAAAAAATGTACAGAACAATCTTTTGTAAATGGTGCCGGTCACGGGTGGCCGCAGTAATTGTTGCTATCTTAGCAGCTGCAGAGGCAAGATGATCCCCTGGTGTTGGTGCCAGATGCTGTCAGGTGGGAGCAATGCCAAAGTCTAGGTCAAAAGCCATCAGGTATGTGGACTGCTGGGCTCCATGGAGTCTGAGAGAGTCTTAAATCTCAGGCCAGTGTCCTGCTGGGATCAAGGACACTGCTGTAGAGAAACCATCAGGAACAAAGGACAATGCTGGGAAAGGGGCTCAGCTGTCCTTGCTAACAGAACACATGGCAGCCTCGATGTGCCAGGCACCGAGAGGGCAGGGCTGTGGGTGGGGCAGTCTCTGTGCAGGCCGTGGGCCACACTGCTGGCTTGGCCAAGGGGTGTGACCACATGACAGATGACGGGTGTTAGATTTCACTGTCTCCTCTTTCAGTCAGCAAGTAGACAGCCACCTAGCTGGGATGATTTCTGAGCACGTGGAAGTCCAGAGTGTAATAGCACATTCAAGGCCACGTGAGTGGAGCCAGAGCTCTGGATGAGCACTTCCTGGGGGCTGGGGCATTTTACAGTGCTGAGAGGATTCGTTCTTGCAGCTCTCCTAGACAGGAAGTCCCAGGTGGTAGCATACAGGAACCAGAAAAGCCCGCTTCCTGAGTTTGAATCCGGTCTTCATCCTTCATTGACCGTGGGACCCTGAACCAGGGTCAGCGTTGTTCAGCAGAGACCACCAAGAACACACCTGTAGCTGAGTAAAGTTGAGTTTCTTAATCCCTGCAGCGAGCGAGAACACACACCAGGGTGTCTCAGTCAGAGGGTGTCAGAAGGAATCTGTGACAGGTTTGGCTGGGTGATGGGTGGGTGGGGGGTAAGGAGGCAGGAGTTTGCTTTCAGCTGGAGACTGTTAGAAAAGCAGGGGCAGTTCTAGTAAATCCTACCTGTAAGGAAGGAAGATAACAAGGTTAAAGCTGTCGTAGGTAAAGAGGTAGCAGTCATCATTTTGGCCGAGAAGGGGTAATTTGGTGTTTCGTGGGTGGCATAGTGACCTTGTTTTTGTCTGTGCTTAGAAAAAATTGCAAGTGCCCCTGCTTTGTCTTGTCTTATCATGGTCTCAGAGTAGACTGAGGCGTGTGCATCCTGGAGGGGAGCACGGGCTGGCTGTGAACGGAAGGCCGGCTTCCAAATGGCAGGCTGTTCTTCCCTTTCTCATAGCTTGCTAAGTCTCTCTGTGTATAAATCTCTTTACCAGCAAAATGAAGGTGAGAGTAGCGACCTCTCAGCAGGGGTGGCTTTGAAGAACACATAGGATAATGGGGGACACAGAGCAGGAGCTGTACCCCACGAGAGCCTCACCGGGCAGCTGCTCAAACACCCACGTTATAGGTGAGGAACGTGGACAGAAACGGCCAGGACATTCTGATAAGAAACAGAGGTGAACTTAACACTTGTACCCCCGTAATACACTAAAATAAAAAATAAATAAATAAAAGTTTTGTAGTTTCAAACTACATTAAACCTATGATTGCATTAAAAAAAAACTAAAGAAAGAAAGAAATAAGCATTTCTTCCTGACGAAAAAAAAAAAAATCAGAGGTGACACAGCCGTCCACCCAAGGCTGCAGCTGAGTTTCCCACGTGAACCCCAGAAGCAAATAACTGCTGACAATCGAGGCAGAGTGACGGGTTCAGCCCTGGCATCCCAGGGGGGCTGGAGCGCTGCCCAGGACCTGGGTGGGAGGTGGGGCCACCACCCAGACCTGGGGGTGGGGAGCGGTCACCAGGACCAGGACACCTGTGTTTCCTTTGGCAGCTTTCACCCTGAGCTCACGGAGAGATGGCTTAGACGCGGCGTCCAGGGAGCACCTCGGGAACGCAGAGTGCAGCCCGAGTCAGGGACAGAGCCGGGACCAGGACCGATTTCTTCCGGTTCCCACACATAATCCTGTCTGATAATAGTAGACTTCATCACAAGTGAGATTTCCAGAATAAAGCCCACCCAGGCAGGCGGAGTTCCCCAAATTATACCTCTCCCTGGTAATTGCAGAGTTGTCCGGGGCCTACATCTGGCTTATAACAGCATTTCCATAAAGACCAGATTGAATGCCACCCTCATTTGGTGGAACAAAAGGAAAATTACATACTTTGATGGCTCAGCTTCCCCTGCATGGGGCAGTAGAAAGGCACTAGTCACAGACTCCCATGTCGGTTCCTTCCCAGCTATGTGGATTTGGGAATACGCTCAGCCTCAACATGCTCAGCTATAAAATGGGAATAACAAAAACTGCATTACCCTTCATACCTTCAAAGACTGTTGTAAAAATGAGATACCGTATTCACATGCAAATGCTTCTAACAGAATTATAAAATAACATAAAAATGTTACCTATATAATGATTTTTGTTTACCAGCAAATAGATTTGATGCAAAACGAAAAGGTCACGCATTATACACATTATAACTAAAGTCTTCTATGGAAATATAACTAATGCTCTTCCATAATGTTCACTAATGGTGGTTAATTCCAGGACCCTGCAGTTTTTGATGTCACCAAAAGAAGTCTGGGGTGCCTGGGCTCTGCTTACTAAAGCAGAGAAGTTGACACATTATGCATTATTTGATCGATCCATTCAACAGAGATTTATGGAGTATATACTCTGTGCCAGCCTGTTCTAGGAGGTTAAGATAAAAGCTGGGAAATAAATCCATCACAAAGGCCTGGAAACCGAGTGTCCAGGCTGCCGAGTGACGGAAATTGCTTCGCCTCTGGCCTTGGCCCTCAGTGGCCCATCTGAGGCCAGCAGAAATCCTGCGATCTCCAGCAGAGTCCAAAGAGCTTCATCCACATGGTAGAAACGTCTCTGCTCCTGTCCTTATGAAGCAGCTGCGAAGATCACAGCCTGGACCACAGTCTCCAGCTGAACGTGGCTGAGAACAAGACATGACAGTTGCCACTAAGGGGGTCCCCAGACTGGGGTGGGGTCCTCGCCCTGTGTGAGGGACAGGCTGAGTTCTGGTCAGCTTTTCCTCTTCACACAGACCCCACGGCTGGAGCCAGCGCATCCTCAAATGCACGACTTTCTCTTCCAGCAACCCTCTCCGAAGCACTTCAAAACTCCCCCTGGCACACAGAAATGCTACCTGCCTTAGCCTCCCGAGGTAGCTTGGAAACTGACAGGCAATGTGCCACCAATCGCCCGCTAAGTTTTTCTATATATCAGTCTCAGTTGGCCAACTTAATTTCTTCTCTAATTTATAGTAGCAGACGGGCGGTCTCGCTCTTGCTCAGGCTGGTTTTCCCGAACTCCTGACCCTTCGAAGCAATCCGCCTGCTCAAGCGCTCCGCAGAGTGCTAGGATTGACAGCGTGAGCCACCCTCCGCCCAGCCTGATGTGGGTCTTCCGAGAAGTCGTGGTGCGGGGAAAGGTCCTCTGTGCTGGAAGCACCAAGTAACAGATGGGGGTTTCCCTTATCAT